ACCCCCCCCCCCCCCAGCTACGTCCTTCGTCTGAGGAACGACGGGATATGAATTTTCACTAATGAGATTTAACTCAAGGATAAAGATGGGAGCAAGTGGTGACATTAATCAAAGTCGTAATATTGGGAAATATCGATAGACAAAGTGCGGGACAATTTATCTCCATTGCGGTGTTTAAAAATTTCCGCTTCTCTTTCATTTTGTCGCGGAGAAACAAACCAACTTAATTCCTTGACATTTACACACAATATTCTGTAAGTAGAAGAGACAAAGCAAGTGACTTTTAAAAAAACTACGTTGACTGGATTTCCAAGGAAATATAGAGTATGACAAGAAGTCTACAGCGTCGCAAACGATGCTACTTGATCTCACATTCCGGCCATCGATATGGTACAATATTTTCTGAAAGTCGTGTATTTTTTTATTTCTTCGAGTCTCCAAAATATTGTCGCGCCCTCCGGGAGCAGAGGTTGAAAAAAGAACAGCCTCGCAGAGCCAGGACGATAAGGTAACGATTGGGGAGAAATATCAATGATACTGAGTCAAGTAAGAGCGAGGAATGAGCGATGACGCTTCGCTGCAGGGACGCTTCCTTCTCGGGGCTTTCGAGCCGCGCTCGTTTCGAAGGAGCTCAAGAAAAATATTAGTAGATTTCATCCAACCCTCTCATTCCTACGAGAGCTTGAAAGTATATCCGTCGTCGTCATATTTTATGAGTATGCGGATTCTGTGGGCTCCCTCTTGACGTAGGTCCCTTTGCCCGATCCAGGCTGTATTTAATGTATTTTTAAAATAAGCCGGGATATTTTCGTCCCATGTGATGGGTCAGTGTTGCGTCAGTCCGGAGACAAGAGAATCACCACTGGGATATTAATAATGGTGGAAGCTTTTACTCTTGGGCATTCAACATTCAACTGTGGACCTACGGTAGGTCACCTACCTGCAAAGTCGATGGTTAACAACGTGTTGGCAGTTTCATTTTACAAACAAACCTAAAGGTCTCGATACACGATCCAATTCCCGCACCAATTACCATCAAAAGGTCTGGAGTCATCAGTCTTAAAATCATTACTTTGTTTAATTTTAAAATGAAAACTTGGCAGAGATGTTTCGTGCGGCAGGAAAAGATGAATGGTGGCACTCCATTCTGATCAAAATTCGACGGCTCGTCCAATTTTGATCGAAGAGGACTGTTGCATGGTGACCATCAGTCATCAACTGGTCTACTTTGATCAGCGACTCTCATCAGGAAGAAAGTCATGCGAGCACTCGAACTTCGCCAAATTTCCGTCCATAAAATGTTAGTCTTTGAGAAATTAAGAATGTTTTTGTAACAATTTTTAGGCATGCAAGATTAGAGTTCAAATAATATTTTGCAAAAAATTGAAAGAGAAAAACAATTCCGAAGCTTTCCAAATATCTGCATTTTATGAAAGGAAAATTAGCAATGTCTGAACGGTGTGTGAATACGGAGTTTTCCCTTCACACTGAGTTTAAGTTTTCTGCGATTGCACGGATAGCTTCCCTCAAGCTCAGAAAACTCGTGGGGCTTACTGCATTTGCGGTATTTTTCCCCTTGGGCGGGGTTGGGGGCGCATATGGCACTTGCAGCGCAGCGCTTACCAATTCCTGGACTTACGGTGGAATTGGGCCGTCTCTTCACTCCTACCACCTGCTCTTACATCCGATTTCGGCGTCGCAATATTTACACATTAAGCTAT